AATACCTAAAAGATGTATGGATTTATTTTTATTTTTAATTATTTATTATTTCATTTATGAAATATATATTTATATTCAATTTAACTATTTTATATAATTGAAAATATATATATATATATATATATATATCCTTTGATATTAAATATATTTTTTTTAATTATTTTATTAAAATGATAAAGAAAAGCTTAATAATTAAAAAACAAATAAAATTTTTTAAAAAAAATCATAAACACATCTAACAAGCCTAAGCTACAGAATTATAAAATTCTTCATTAAAAAGTTTATTATCTGCGATACATTTTAGGACAGTTTTACACTAATTATTCAAAAAATCTGGTCTATTAAGTAAAAGTTAAACAAAAAGTTAATTTTATTAAAACCCATCAATATTAGAATCATAGAAAGGCAACTAAGCAACCCAAAAATCTACCAATTCTCGAATTTATTTAACATTATTGAATTAAAATTAAAGTATTTTTCCCAAAACTTACACACATGAATTTTTAAAAAGTCCTTCCTTTTTTTTAATTAATCCACCCAAAATATTTACTAGATCTTCTATTTAATTCTAAAATTCAATCTATGGAGTTTGTTCTACAAATTTCCCTATAAGAGAAATCCCATTTTCTTTCCAAATGAAAATTCTTGCCCCAAAGTAAAGGCTTTTCCATCGTTTTTACAAATGCTCATACCCTAAGAAGTCCAAAAAGCAAGAAATCAATTAAATAGCAAACTCATGAGTTTTATCTGAAGCATTTTCAGCCAAAAGTTAAGGCATGAAATTAGAATATAAAAGATCCTACAAATCAAAGGCTTTTTATTTTTAACAGCAAAAAATTACATAGATTAATTTTCCAACTTCCTCCTATAAATTATCTTCTTTTTCCAAATCTTCTTCTAAGCAATCTTTTTCATCTTCATCAACTTCTTTTTCTCTTAAAAGTTCATCATTTTTGTTTTTTCTTTTTAAAAGTTCTGAAATTACAGAAACAATACAATTATTAATCGAAGACGATTCTTCTTATGTGAATTGAATATCATCTTTAACTACTTCTATGCATTTCCATATACTTTAAACAATACTTGTTTACAAAAGAACAACTTAATCATTATTTTCTTAAGTTTCTTATTATTAAATAATTAAATCACCTAAAATATCTATAAAATATTTCGCCTATTCTACTTAATATTTTTTCTCGAAAAACGAACACTTTACGAGTTCAGGCATACATAAAATTGCTGCTTTTTTCATTTAAATTTTCTCACTTTAAGAGCACACTTTTACTATTAATTTCGTACAAAACTCAACATAATCGGAAAAATTATCTTTAAAAACATTCAAAAATACATTTAAAGTTTCCAAACATTCTTCATTTTCATTATCTTATTCTACACATTTATTTACCAAATCTAAACTTTCATTTATAAATGCGTCCATCTTTTCAATTAATTCACTCCTAAAATTCACACTCAAACGTTTCCAAGCATCGAAAATATAAATTAAATTACTAGTCTAAATATTTTCTTTTTAAAGCTCACCCCTTTATAAAACTACTAAGTATTCCATAGTACTCAAAAAATGTTATTTGAAAGCCTCTTTAGGCCCAAACCCAGCTAAAACGCTCAAATTTTCTAACACAAAAAACTTTATTTGGGAAAACCTTTCCCATTTATTAACTATTTTTCCCAAAAAAAGAACTATTTCATTCACAAAGAGATTTCTTGTTTCTATTTTTTCACAAATAAAAGCCAAAGCTTTAACTAAACTTTCCAAAACTAAAAGATGTTTCGTGTTTTCTCCACAAACAAAAAGTTCATTTAAAACAATTTTCTAAACTTCCATATTTCCTAACTCATCTTCCATTCCAGATAGAAAATTACCCAAAGCATTTACTGAATGTGCCTATATTCTTGGAGAAAAATCTTTCACACCTTCAAAAAGAAATTCAAAAATCTACCCTTTATATTATCTTTAAAACTATGGTTTTTTATCTTCTGCAAGTTATCCAACACAATGTAAAATACTAAATTTAACCATTATATTATCCTTCCAAAAATTTTTAAATTAGCAAAAAAGTCCTTCAAAAATATCTTTTATATCATCAAAATTTTCAACAAATTCTCCAATTTAGCTAAAAGCCATAATACAAGTATACAAATATCTCCAATCTGAATTATTATTTGCTGTTTTAATAATATTATTCATTAAAATTTTTAAACAATTTTCCTCTCCTAAAGCCTCTATAGTTCTATTTAAAGCCTCTAAGCCATATTTAGTACTTTATGATTATCCATTACTATCTTCAGTTTCTTCATTTTAGGGGAAAGCCCAGCTTTCGGATATTTCTTAATTTACATGTAAAATTATATTCGAGAAAATCATTTCAAAAAGCTATTCTATTATATTAGAGTTATTTTCTTAAGGGATTACTGTAAACCCAAACCTTTCTAGAATATGAATAAGAATTTCACACAATTATCTTTTAATAAAAATGTTAATATTGACATGATTTTATTTAAAAGCCTAATAAACAGTAGAGAAAATTGAGATAAAATTTTCTTTGAAAATCTTTGGTTCTCCTTCTGATAATTCATTAAAAATATCCACAAATTCTTTATTATTATTCTATATGCTTTTTTCCAAAATTGGTAACATAAATACAACTAAATTTTAAAATTTCTTAATATGTCTAGAATCAATAACTAACATATAACTATTTATAGCTTATAAACATGCTTTTTGAATTTATTCTTATTATTTTTGTTATAAGCCTTTCTCGAATAAAAAAATAAGCTAGTCTTGATGTTTAGTAAATTATTAAGGGATTAATTATAGAAGATTTTTTAGTACCAAAAATCCACTTTCTATTTAAATTGGATCGTTAATTATTAATAATGTCCATATAATTGAAGGTAACTCAGGCCATTAATTACCTTTTTCGTTATCTTACATTAATGTAGCGCCTAATTCACCTATAAGGTCACATATTAAAGAACGAATGCGAGTTTTTGTTTCTTTTTTCAAACATTCAAACAACTATATTTTTACATAATGTTAAGTTTTTGGGGTTAATTATTCCCATATATTTTCAAATGATTATTCGCTATATTTAGATGTTATTTTTCTTAAATGAGTTGCAGTGAAAATTCGATGCTCATCTATAGCTGAGGCTATTTTATATATATATATATTTATGATTAGTTTTAATAAAAAAAAAATACATGTCAATATTTCAATGAACTTTATTATAAAATTATTTGGATCATTTTTAGCTATATAATTTAAGGTTTCCTCACTTTATTTAATATCTATATTGTCTTAAATACCGGTTAATTAGTTTATTATCGCTAGTATTTCTTCAGACATTTACTTTTTTTATTTTTATTTTTAATTTTTTTTGGTATAATTTTATTTTTATACTTTTTTTATTATTTTTTTAGAATTAATAAGGATAAAAATATTTAATTATATATATATATAATGTTGCTCAATATATTTGATATAAAAATTAATTTTATATTAATAATAAATTTTTGTAAATTATAACTGTAAAATAATTTTGATAAATCTTAAAATATATAAATACTAATATTTTATATTTATTATATTAATTCTTTTTATTAATAATAATTAATAAAACATTATTTTTAATTATAAATTTATTTTATTTTTTATATATAGTAAAATAAATTAAACTAAATAAAACATAAACAATAAAATATTTTAAATAAACACAATAAAATTAATAATAAAAAAAAAAAAAATCATATATTTATTAAATAACAAAAAATTAAATCATTTTTACGCGAAAAATAAAATTATTAATAAAATAAAAAGTAAAGTTAATAAAAACTCCTTAAATAAAAATTCAAAACTTTGACCCACATAAAAATAAAAAATAATCAAACTTAAAAATTATAAATAAGATAATGTTTTAATCATCAAAAAATATTTAACCACTAAAAATTCTAACAAAAACTTCATATAAACCAAAAAGTGAATTAGAAAAAAATCCAATAAAATTATCTAAACCGAAATCAAATGATTTTGAAAAGCAAAAACAAATAAAGAATTTTCAAAATAATTTATTATCAATCTAAAGTAAAAAAAAAATCACCAACTTCTTAGAAAGTTCAAAAGAATAATCTCAATAATTCCATAAACGTATTTTGATGAAAAATATAACAGGGAAATCAAACGATAAATTATCTTTAGATTAATTTCTTCCATATAATTCTTAAAATATACAATCAACATATACATAGGAATATTAAATAGGAAAAAATGTATTAAAAACAGAATCTGTGGGTATAAGAAGTCCTTTATAAGAAAGATAAAATACATTTCCATATGAAATTTAACACTAAAAATAAAATATTTAGAAAAAATTGCTTGAAAATGATATAGAAAATAACCAAAGTAAAAAAAATTTATAAAAAACTGATGAAAAGTTAACTTTTGTAGGTTTGTAGGAATTAATAGAGTTAAGAAAGAGGAGGAGAAAGATTCATAAATTAAAATAACTGAAATAAAAAATAAATCGATTAGAAAATATAGAAAAAGAATATTTACAAGAAAACAGTAACGACAAAATTAACGATGAATAATAAAAAGAACTTGAAAATAAATTAAATTAAGAAAAATCTGTTGATTTAAATACTACTTTTTAAAGTATTAATAGTATTAATTTAGATGAAGTTTAAAATTCATTAAATAATCAAGAAGCTGATTCTGTTATTTCTAATACTTCATCGATTCATGAAGATGATAAAATTAATTATGTAAACCTTTAAGACGAAGAGGATAAAATTAAAAAACTTTCCAAATTAGAATCTATTGTTGAAGATAATTAAGAATATTTTGATCATCTAGCAGGTTTTTTTTTAAATAAAAAAATAGATATAAATTTATATAATTTTTAGGTAATTGTGCTTGTGGTTAATGTAAATGTGGGAAATGTGTAACTGAATGTAATAAAATAAATAGAAGACCAGTATATATGAATATAAAATGGTTATCTTCATATAATAAATATTTTAATAGTAATAAATTAAATTTATATAAAAATTAACATGAAATAAGAATTAATGATAATCCATATAAATATAATTCAGCCGATAATATTTAGCTTATTTCTACTTTTTAAGTATGTTTTTTTTATTAAAAAAAATATATATATAAAAAAATAAATATAGAATGATTATAAATCGCCTGTAAATAATAATTTTAAAAAAATAAAATTAGTTAAAAAATTATAAGACAATAATCATTTTTATGGGTTAACTTCTTATAAAGCTAATTATGTAAATTGGAAAAGTTATTTGGGTCCCTGTCAAAAAAATAATCACAAAACAATTGTTGATGGAATTAAATTTGAAGGCGAATCTACTTCCAAATAAGCTTATATAAATTTTTCCGACTATAATAAAACTAAATCTTTAAAACCTAAAGATTAAGATCCTTTACCTAGATTATTAAAATTCTAAGATTAAACTACCAAAAATTAATACTATAAAGCTGAATAAGGTGAAAAAGCTATAAGTTGTAAAGAACATGTAATTTTTTAAATTACTATTTTTTTATTTTAATATTTATTTATGCATTTTTTAGATTAAATATTAACCAACGCCTGCTTATAAAGGATAATTTTAAAGTAATAATTTCAAAGATTATTTAGGCAGTACAATTTAATGTGGTGGAGTTGAAAAATTAAAAGAAGCTTATAAAAGAAAAATTTAAAAATATAAAAAGCAATTTGAATTAGAATTATTAAAACTCTAGTAATAAGAATGAAAGAAAATACAAAATAGAAAATAAAAAATCTTTATTTTATAAAATTATTGTTATTAACATTTTTTTCAAAATATAAATATATTTACTTTTTTTACGTATAATATTAATATATTTGGCCTTTTTCTCATTTTAATAACTTATTTTTTCTTTTTCTTTTTATTTGTTAATTACACTAAATTGTTTTTAGTTTATTTAGAAATTTATATAAAATTTTATCAACAAAAAATAATTTCTAATTGAAATTAAAAATTTATAAAATTCCTCCAAATCCATAAAATATATTGATTTATAATCTTACTAATATTTTTAGTATTGCTTTTTATTAAGATCACTTTAATGATGGATGTTTTTGAATAGTAATAGTGTTATTTTATTAAGCCTGTTATTTATGTTATTTAGTATTAGCATTAATTATGCAATTATTCTGAAAAGTATTTTAATTTTCTACTATATATATGTATATTAATTAATTTTAGAATTTAAAATAAGATTTTATTTTATTTTCTTAATCCAAACTAAATTATTATTAGTTGTATTTTATTTTTTAAGAAGAAATATTTGAATCAAAATCACTTCAAAAGAAAAAAAAAATGAACAAAATAATTTCTTAAATAAAAAATATAATTTGTAGAATTAATTTATAACTTGAATATTTTTAAAAAATTTTTAATTTTTAAAAATTTTAAAAGATATTTTTTATTTATTTAAATATTTTATTTTATTTAATTATAGATTTTATTAATTTTGTTATGTTTAAAAATATATGATAAAATTAAATTGTATATAAATAATATTTAATAGTATAAAAATATATAATAAATTTTAAATAAAATAAAATATTTAACTAAAAAAAATTTAACTTATATAAAATGGATTGAATGTTATTCTCACAATAAATTCTGAATTTTTATACTAATCAATTATGTCTAAATATTAATAAGTAAATTTGTACTGAAAACCTGCATTCTAGCTACCTACTGTTTTTTTTCATAATGTAAAATTCCCAACAAAGTAATATATAATTATATTTTTTTATTATAAAATAATATTATAAATTTAAATGAAATATATTTTGATGATATAACTTAGGACGCCTTCTGAAACGACTTATTCGTTTTTGAGAATAAATATGGTTTCTGAATAATTTATTTCATTTAAAAATATATAAAATATAATATATTTAATTTTTATTAAATTAATATATTTACAAAGGATTAGAGATTGAACTAAACTAAGAAATATGAATAAAAATATTTATATATATTCAAAATTTATAAATCAAAATATTTATATTATATGTATATAGTTATGTAAAATATATAATTTCTAAAAATTAATTTTTTTATAAATATATATACTAAAATATTTTAAGAAAAAAATAAATGAAGATATTTTATTTTAAAAAAAGAATATCATTAAATTTGTAATTTTTTCTTAACATTTAAAATATAGCAATTGTATTCGTTTTCCAAATTTTTCAATAAAGAATTAGTAACTTTAAATGTATTAATTTCCTTTTTAAGTTATTCTGCATTAGCAAAAATACCTTTTTAAATCATAGATTAAAAGTCACATATAAAAATATCTGATTTAATTAATTCAGACATACAATGCAAAAGTTCATCGAAATCCATTTTCATTAACTTTGGTTAAATAAACTTAAGAACCCATAGTAAACATTTAAAGAATCCTTTCCATCCCTCACAAAGGAAGAAATCCCAAATCGTACATAATAAAAATGAGTTTTTAGTGTATTAAAAAACGCAACTAAAAATAGTTATAAGCCATCCTGTAGCATAATAATTTGAATAAACGTTTTATTATTTTAAATGTTATTCTAATTCAGGTAAAAAAATACTCAATAATCTTTCTATTTGATAAAAAACCACTTTTAGATATTCAAAGTTATCAGTCAAAAGTAAAGAAAAATAAGAGTTCATTACAGTTTCAAATGCTTTATATGTTTCTGCTTCATCTAAAATGTTTAAATAGAGAAAACCAGCTATGTAATTCATTCCTTAACAATATGAAATGTCAGCATTATAATAAGCAAAAACTCTTAATAAGCTTTATAATTAATTAGGGTTAATTTTATCTGAATGCATGTGCAAAGATCTATTTTTTAAAATAAATAATATTTTAAAATTAAAAAAATACCTATTAACATCTAAATTAATAGTTTCTTCAATACTATCATGTTTTTGATTCATAGCAATTTTATTTTTTAATTCTATATAATTGGTTTTGACTTAATCGGTTTTTAGTATTTTAAGCCATACTAAAACTCTATTTTTTTACAACCACGAAGATTAAAAGTCATTAACGAGATAAAGCTTGAATATGTTTTTTTCTAATTCCATTTTAATAAATTTGTTCACAAGAAGTAATTACCAAGGTTTATCTTTAATAGAAAAGAAAGGTAATGAATTTTTAATAATAAAAAGAGTTTTTTTAATATTGGTTTGGCATACTTTTAATATTTTTTCTTTCTTATTTTCTATTTGGGTCTTATATGAATAAAAATTTCTTCTTAACTCACTGTTTTTTTACTTTCTTGTCTTTATAAAAGAGGTGGAATTTATTATAAAATTAATTATCCACCTTTTTTTTCGCTAAGTCAATAATAAGATCTGATGCAAACTAAGAAGATAACTCTAAATTTATTAATAGTTGATTAAGTTTTTCTAAAGCAAAAAAACTGGCCTCGTTTTCTATGCTTTTCTCTTCTTCTAATTATTTATCCGATTTTTTAAATAAGCTTCCTAACTTTCCAAATGTTCCGAGCTTTCCTAAACCTGCACTTATTATTTTTATTCCTTTTTTAACACCTATTATAGAAGATAAGGGTTATATTTAATTATTATTTTGAGATTATTAGTTTAAGTTCTGTTAAGAACTTATTATTTCTATTTTTTTTTTCTTTTCTTCTAATTACTTATGTTTTAAATATTCGAATAGCTACTCCCATTTATCAATTTTGTACCAGGTAGGCATTGAATTGAGTTATTAAGATAAAAATTTGTTATGAGAATCTTTTTATCTCCTATATATTCTTGTGCATATAATTAAGAGATAAAGGAAATCTTCAGGTTAAGTAACTTCAGGAGACTCCAATTGAATTTCTTTGAGAATAATTTTAATAATTTCACATAATTCAAGAAATTTATCCTCGATAATTTCAATATTGAATTTTTTTGTTTTTAAATTTACTAATGCAAATTATCTAAGAAATATTATCTATTGGAATATAAAGAAAATATATTAACGAAAATTTCTAATTATGTGTTTAATTCACTTACTGTACTTTTTTCATCTTCATTATTGTTATTTTTGTTTTCTAATATGCTTATATTGGAGCATGATTTTTTTTAAGGGGATAAATTATCACTACTTTTAATTGAGCTAGAATATGTTTTTTTGTTTTATATAATATTTAGTGTATATTTTTCTTCATCAAATATGTCAGATATTAATTAATCCATTTTTTTTTATCCTATTCATTTGATCCATCACTTATAATATTATAACTATTTGCTATTTTCTCGTCTAGTGTTTTTTTTATTTAAATATATAAATACAAAGAAATTTTATAAATATAATATTATTTAACTATGTTCTATTTTTAACTATTCATAAGAGATGAACTTTTCTTCATGATTTCTTAACTTTTGGTAAAAACACTCAAGTTCATTTTTTTAAATTCCATTTAATCTTTCATATGTATCTTTTTAATTTAATTATTTTTCTATTACATTAAATTTTTCATAATATTAATTTGCCTAGTTTAAATCAATTTGATTTTAATATTATAGATACTAAATTAATTTCAATATCGTTTATTTTGAAAAAGAAATGCGACTTTCGTCATTATAATCGAATCTTTAAAATAGATTAGGAAATATTTTATTGAAATTTTCCCATTCTAAATTAACAACATTAATTTAGTTTTTATATTCTTCTTGTGCTTCTTCTACTTTAAATTTCAATTAGACAGATTAATGAGTTACTTTTGATAAATCGATATCACTTTTTAACCCTTTTTCTACTTATTCAGCCGTTTTTTGCATCACTTATGAGAATTTATCTGTGGTTTTTTTACTTTGTAAATAATTTTCCTATGACCTTATTAATTTGTCTCTTTTAGCTTCCATTTCTATCAGTATTTATTTAGTTTATGTCACTGTTTCTCTATTTGTTTGTCTAAAATTATCGACAAACATTTTAAAAGGCTCTATTATTTCATTTCTTATATTCTTACTAAGCTTAGATTGATTTTAGGCTATTTTTAATAAATAATTACTTAAATGTTAATATGCAAATACAAGTCCATCGTTTTCACCAGATTATTCTGTAGATATTTCTTAATGAAATTATTCAGCTAATGACTATAGATTTTATGAGAATTTTAAATGAGCTTCTTCTAATTAATCTACTAATTTACCTAAATTTATTACTTTTTTTGTACTTTATACCATATTTTTGTAAAATAAATCATAAAAATTCCAAGATTCTTACAAGATTAAATTCATATGCTTAATATAAATTATAATTAAATTCTATTATAAAATATTATAAATTTTAGGTTAAAATATAAATTGTATAATATTTATATAAATAATTTAATAAATATTTTTATTTTAGATGATAATTTTATTTAAAAATAATATTTTGTTAAAAAAATTATATATATAAAAAAAAAATATATTAAAAATAAAAATAACAAAAAAATTATAATATTAAAGAATTAATAAAATAAATAATTTAAATAAATAAAAAAAAATACTATAAATATATATATTAAAATATATAAATAAAAAAAAAAAATATATTATGTTTGTATAATATATATATATATACATATTTATATATATATATTTTTATATATACATTTATATATTTTTTTTTTATAAAATTATAATAATTTATATATTTTTATTTTACTTTTTTTTATTGAATATTATTATTTTTTTAATTTATTTTATAATTATTTTTATTCATATTTATCAATTTTTTTTTTTTTTTTATATATTTTGAAAAATATATTTAAATAATAAAAAAAAAAAAATTTTTAAAATATCTTTTAATTTATTTTATTAATATTTTTTTTTAATGTATATATTTTATTTTTTATACATACATAGTTATATATTATAATTATTTTTATTATTATTTAATTATTATAAATGTTTTCTTTTTAATTATTTTATTATTATAATATCTATAAAATTTTATATATCAAATATAATATATTTTTTTAAATTCATTATTATTTTAAGATTTATTTTAAATATATTCTATTATATTTAATCATATTTTTTTAATTTTTATTTATATTATGAGAAATATATTTTTTTTTATTTTTTTATATTAATTTATTGCATAAAATATATTTTTGTTTATACATTAATTTTATTAATACATTATTACTATAAATTTTTTAAATATTCAAACAAATTTTAATTAAAAATTTTTAAATAATTTTTTTTTTTTTATATAATTTATATATTTATAGTGTTAAATATATATATTTATATTATCGATTATATTTTTTATCCTATAAATTATCTTATTGATTATAAAATTGAAGAAATAATATTTTAATTTATATTTTTTTTTTATTTTATTTTATTTTTATATATTTTCTTAATTTGTATTATTTGTATATATTATTATTTTTATAATTTCCTTGATTTTTTTAATAATTTTTTATTTAATTTATTACATAAATTATTATTTATTATACATATATTTAAAATAAATATAATATTTTTAAAATATTTCTTATAATAATAATTTTTTTTTTATAAAAATATTTATGATTATAATATTTTTCAAAATTTGAATGTTATTTTTATAAAATATATCAAAGTTTATCTTATAAAAAAATAATAAACAAAAATTTTAATATAAATTATTATTTTTAATAATATAAATTTATATATATATTTTAATTAAGAATATATTTGTATAAATAACTTTATTATTAATAACATTTTAATTGTTTTTCTGTTAAAATATATAAATGAATTTATATAAATAGTTATTATATATAAAAAATATATTTATTAATTTTATTATTATTATTATTATTATTATTATTATTATTATTATTATTTATTATTATTATCATTATTATTTTTTATTA